ATTATGTCCAAAATATGAAAAAGAAATGAGATCAAATACACATGTAACTGAATGTCTTCAAAACCTACCATATGTTAGCTGCATCCAAATTATTTATAAAAAGTGATTCCATCTGAAGATGATTTGTAAGCTGGGCTTTTTTCCCCCTTTCCATTGCCTCTCCCCCGGTTCCCTGGGGTTAACAGGCAATCTTTGGGGCTTCTTGGCTTGTGGCAGCCTGACTCCTGTCTTCCCACGGCACCCTCCCTGCAGGGCTCTGTGTCCAAATTTCCCCCTTTCCATAAGGATACCAGTTCCTCTTGGCATAAGGGCCCGGCCCACCGGCCCCCCCACCCCCAGTGTGGCCTCCCCCTGATTTAACTCATTACATTTGCAAGGCTCTATTTCCAAATAAGGCCCCGTTCTGTGGTACTTGAAGTTAGAACCTCAGCACATGAATTCTGAGGGACACAATTCACCCCATAAGAGTGGGCATAGTAGTCATGGGAGGAAGGCCAGCCAGGCACCTGCAAAGGCCCTACAGAGACCAGAGAGCACAGGGCCACGTGGGGAAGAGAATCAAGATGAGCCTGAGTGGGGGGGCCCGGGTGGCTCAGTCAGTTAAGCATCCAACCCTTGGGTTGGCTCAGTTCATGGTCTCACAGTGATGAGACAGAGCCCCGCGTCAGGCTCTGCCCTCAGTGCCTCATCTGCTCGAGATTCTCTCTCTCTCTCTCTCTCTCTCTCTCTCTCTCTCTCCCTCTGCGCTGCCCTCCACCCCGGCTCATGCTCATGTGCACTCTTTCTAAATAAATAAAATCTTAAAAAAAAAAAAAAAAAAGATGAGTCTAGGATGTGTTCAAGAGCAAATTACAAAGTACTTTATAAACCAAATATAAACCAAAGTACTTTCTAAACCAAATACAAGTTTCATCTACAGGCCAGGGTTTTCCAGTATGAGATTTTAAAATCAAAATGAAACATTAAAACAATCCTTATGCACCTCCGCCTTCCCTTGCCCTCCTTTTACCCAAACTCCCCTTACTCGAAGATCCTAAAAGCCAACGAAGAAAGAGTCAAGCTCAAAGGTGTAGGGAGTCCCCGGGGGCATGTTCCCGCATGATCTCAGGGCAGAATCCAAGGAACTGATCCTTGTTCAGGTGGCCTCCTTCCACGCCTGCCATTTTCATCTGTCTCATTTAGAAGGTAATTCTTTGGTTGTTGTTGAATCTTAGATCATAATTTATTGGATCCATTTTTTAAAGTAGTATTCTGTAATACTAAATGGACCAATCTCGTCAATATCACTACCTGTATTTAAATGTTTTATGAAAGGGGGCGCCTGGGTGGCTCAGTGGGTTAAGTAGCTGCCTTCAGCTCAGGTCATGATTTTAGGGTCCTAGGATCGAGCCCCACATCAGGCTCCCTGCTCAGTGGGGAATCTGCTTCTCCTTCTCCCTATGTCTCTTTCTCCCACTTGTGTGCTCTCTCTCTGACAAGGGTTTATTTATTTGTCAGAGGGAGAAAGAGAGAGAGCACAAGCAGGGGGAGCAGCAGGCAGAGGGATTGCACAAGCCGTTCATGTAATACAAGTGGCTGGTAAACAAGGAAAGGGTCTGCTACTGACCCAAGATATGCACGTTAAAACAGCAATGAGTAACTTTTTTGCCTCCAGGGTTGACAGAAATGGACAAGATCCAGTGTTGCTAAAGCTGGGGGTGAAAAGCGCTCTGGGAGAAAGTATAACTTGGTTTATTTCTGGAGGGCAATTGGCAGCATCTACCATGATATAAAATGTAAATAAGCTTGTGTCCAGAAAGTACAGTTCTGGTGCATTCCGGTGATACAGCAATGGGCAGCCTTCACAGAGCACCTCCTGTGTACCAGACGCCACACCAAGTGCATCACAAGGATGACGTCATTTGCATCACAAGATGACCTATCATCACCTCCATTTTCCAAGAAACTGAGGCTTGGAGAAGTTAAGTTTTCTTGGTGAGTGATTAGTGATTTAAATCCAGGGAGTCTGATTCCAAACCCTGTGCATATGATCACTCCCTTTAGCATACCTCACACTTGCACAAGGATGTACTATTATAATAGACAGACAAAATACAAGATTCTAGCATTAGAAGGATCAGGGACTTCAGAAGGATCGGGGACGCCTGGGTGGCTCAGTCGGTTAAGCATATGCCTTTGGTTCAGGTCATGATCTCAGGGTCCTGGGATCCAGCCCCACGTCAGGCTCCCCGCTCAGTGTGGAGTCTGCTTGTCTCCCTCTCTCTACCCCTCCCTCCTGCTTGTGCTCTCACTTGCTCTATCTCAAATGAATAAATAAAAAATATCTAAAAATAATAAAAGAAAATAAAATCACAAGGATGGTTTGATAAATAAGTTACAGTCATACCTTGGGAAGCCCTACAGCAGTAGGTAGCTAGCTTCATTTGTACCGACAGGGAAACTCCTCATGCCGTTTTATTAAGTAGAAAAAAAGGAAGTTATAAAATGACACAAGCAGTGAAATGGATTTTTTTAAATCAACTAGGTGTGTGCATAGGTACAAAGGGACACATACCACTTCAACAGCCCACCCCCACAGAGTGATGTAAGAAAAAGGACACACACCAAGTCATTTACAGTAGTTATTCCTTAAATGTGGAAGTAGGGGGACATTCACTTCTTTAAATATGTATCATTTAGGTCTCTTGAGTTCATAAGTGACAGAAAGCCTAACCCAAACCAGATGAAATACTACAGGGGAACATTTGCTCATGCCACTGGAAGGCCCAGAGGTCTGGTGTGATTTGACAGTTTGACAAGGCTGGGATTGGTGTGATTTGGCAATGTAGCAATGTCTTCAAGGAACTGGATTCTTCCCATCTTTGTACTCTGCTTTCAGCTGTGTTAGCTGCATTCATAAGCAAGATTCCCTCATGGTGGCAAAAAGGTTGCAGCGGTTCCAGGCTTCACATAAGCACCCCACCGTATCCTGAAGCAGGGATGTGTTCATGTCCTCTGTTACTTAGCAAAAGTCTTCAGCTTCAGTGTCGATGGAACCAACCCTGAATGAACTCCGGGGGCCAGAGGAATGGCAGGGAAGTATCAGCTTGGGCCTATATACTCTAAATAAACCACTGTGGCAAGGAGTCCTACTGAGATTGATCAAAGTGTCCCCTGGAGCTGGGAGTACAGTAGATCCCATGTAAATCACTCATGGCTGTGACATGATGGGGGAGGGGTGGAATGCTTGTTGTGGAAACAACACTACAATACACATCTGCATTATTTAAATTTTCTACCAATTCAATAGACACCAAAGCATTTAACACTTTGGTAGTTTAAAAAATACAACAGTGGGGGGCGCCTGGGTGGCTCAGTGGGTTAAGCCGCTGCCTTCGGCTCAGGTCATGATCTCAGGGTCCTGGGATCGAGTCCTGCATCGGGCTCTCTGCTTGGCAGGGAGCCTGCTTCCCTCCCTCTCTCTGCCTGCCTCTCTGTCTACTTGTGATCTCTCTCTGTCAAATAAATAAATAAAATCTTTAAAAAAATAAAATAAAATAAAAAATACAACAGTGGGCCTTTTTTTGGGGGGGGGTTCATGAAAATACATTGCAAATAATCTTTTTTTTTTTTAAGATTTATTTGAGAGAGAGCGAGAGAGTGAGAGAGAACCCAAGCAGAGAGAGGGGCAGAAGGAGTGAGGGGGAGAGAGAGAGCGAGAGCACCAGCTTGGGAAGGGAGGGGGACAGAAAGGGAGAGAGAGCATCTGAAGGAGACACCCTGCTGAGCTTGGAGCTTGGGTCATGACCTGAGCCAAAACCAAGAGAACCGGCTGAGTCACCCAGGCGCCCCAGCAAATGATCATTTTTACAAATATTTTTATTTCTTCCTCAAGTTCAAATTACATAGCTAAACTTCCTGCATCCAAGGGTCATCTAAGAGACGTGATGCACCGTGTTGTAGCTAGAGGGACCAGTGCTGGACTGAGAATTAGCAGCCTGAGCTCAAGTTCTAGCTCAGTCAGCAACAGTGAGCTCTCAGCAGTCAGGGACCTGCTCCGGACTCAGTTTCCTTATCAGCAAATGATGGCTTTGGAGGAGACGATCACCACGGTCCCTTCTATCTCAAGTATTCCTTTCTCTTTGTTTATAAGATATTCCCATCCATCCATCCATCCATCCATCCGTCCATCCATCCATCCATCCATCTCCATTCATTCGTTTATGGCTTTTTTTTTTTTGTAATAATACTATATGCATAAGATAAAAATATTCTAACAATACAAAAAGCTTCACAGTGAAAAAGTTCGTTCCTCCTCCCACCCCGCCTCCCAGCTTCTGCTCTGTGCCCCGCCCTCAGCACTGTTAACAATCTATCCCATAAGCATGGATCGCCCCCGCCCCCGCCCCCGCCCTCATTTACCCAAGCACTGACCCACCGCCCCTGCATCCCCCAGTCTGCTTTTTCTCTAACTATCTCCAATGGAACTCTTGGGTCCGAAGTCTTTTTGATAGAAACATTGCAAAATGACCCACAGAGAAAGGGTGATGCTTTATTTCTCCATTGAATTATCAACACCTTACG